TCTCAGTACCCATATAATCTTTTTATTGGTGATAGGTCCATCGAAATTGAACCAACTCTCAAGATTCTTGGCGTTACATTGGATCGGGATTTGTCTTTCAAGCCCCACGTGGCAATCATGCTGAAAAAAGCGTATGCTAAGATAGCCGCACTACAGAGGATTAAGCGCTTAGTTCCTTCGGACGTTATGATTTCCCTTTATAAAGCCTACCTGTTACCGCATTTAGAACACTGTTGCCCACTACTTCTGGGCATATCTAAAGTCTTGAAAAATAACATCGAACGTACCAATCATTATACGATCAAGATATTACTGAATTTAAGTAATTCGGCTACCTATGACTTTTGCCTAGCAATGGCTGATGTGGACAAGCTTGAGCAAAGACGTACCCTGTAATCACTTATTCTATTTCTTAAATGTTTTAAACTAGACGGCCCAATTTATTTTTCCCAATCTTTTACACCTCGGCTAACTAAATACAATCTACGAGATAGTGGCTTAAATGTTGTGCAGCCTCCATATAACAGCCTTGTCATGCACAACTCCTATTTATACATGATTGCCCACATATGGAATCAATTACCAACTGTCACCAAATCCTCGAGCACTGAATAATGTCAATTTCACAGGGTGCCAGTGTATGAACTGTATATAACTTTATCTATTTTTACATTTTTAACATTCTCTTGGGCTAGTTTATATATTTTTTAATATTTTAATCAGTTTATAACGGTTAGTCCGTTTAAATCTATTTTTAATGCATGTTCTTAGGTTTTTATTTATTTATTTATTTTTTTTTAAGAAAATAGTTTCTTAAAAAATTTTCCCAAAATTACAATGTTTTTAGGTTTTTCTTAATATTTGTATATGCATAATTCACATTTTATCCTGTTTTGAATTTTTTAGTTTGACGAGCGTTTTTAACATGAGCCTCTGGCTCGGAGGACTGTGCAAACACGTCCCACGTCTTCGACATTAAATAAATCATTCATTCATTCATTCAGTTTCCACCGAATAAACTTTGAAATATGTATGTAAACCCTGCGGACTGGGATGTTGACTTTGCCTTTCCAAATTTTAACCTAGCTTTGCTTTAATGAGAACGAAGCTGTTGTAGAAACTGAATCGTAACCTTCCCGAGGAAGAGAATTCTAGTCAGTGTTTGAAAATTTTAACGCAGATCACAACTGAAGACGAGAATGAACTGGCAGAAAGAGAGGTTTTCCCAAAAACAATTAATGAGCGAATCCTTCGACAATGACAACAAACTTTAATACCTTGAAAAGCTTCTTTGCCTTTTGCAGTGTTTTTTCACAAGGTAAGGACAAACGGAAGAAAGTAGATAGAAACGACTTCTAGACAGACACAGTGTCCGGTTTCCAAAATACTCCAGCGTTACATTAAAGAGCTAAAACTTACAGTGCTCTTAGTTTTGACCGAATAAACTTTTTCAACATGCCGAATTTGTTTTTACTTTCTCGGAAAGCCTTTGTTTTCGTGCGCCAATAAAAACTTTCTTTTTTGACGCCTGTCAAATGACTGTCAAAGCGTGCGTCCTGCACTTGTTTCCGGTCCCCCAAACAGGAATTAGCCATATAATAAACATCTTATTAGCCTCGTTTTTTCGGTCCGTACTGTAAATTACGGATCCTCGTTTTTTTCCATCGAATTATGGCCCGCGCGCAAACTCGGTCCGTAATTTACAGTACGGACCGAAAACTCGGCTAATAAGAGGTATTTAAGATCCCTAAGCATATTGCAGTTCGCCGGCTAAGGTTGGCATTAGCTAATTCTCATTATATATATCATGTAATTAGGCTTCTTTATTGTAAATAGCTATATCACGTAATTTAGGCTTTACATAATAAGTTTGTGGTTTTCTCTTTCAGTTCAATATTTTTTTCCGGCTTTTTAGCATATTTAATTATTGCTAGAGGTCTGACCAACCTCACCAAACCCGAGATTGAATAATGCTTCATTCTTCAATCATTCATTCAGGTTGAGATGAAAAATAAAAAATTAACACACTTGCTATTCGGGCGAATTGAAAACGTGAACACCAGAAAAAAAAACTGACTAAACTAAACTACAGTAAACTAAAAAGCAAACAGCAACAGTAATAGGCCAGTTTCGAATTAACAAAATTAAAAGTTGGCTCTGACGTTGAGGTACAAAAAATCTTTTCAGATTCACTCGGCAGTGCTGAATAATCATTTCTTTTGTTTTATTCCCCTCAACCTAGGAGCCAACTATGAATTTTGAGAATTGTAAAATGGCCTATTACTTTGTGGTTTTGAGGTGTGTTTGTGTGCCGTCTCATTTATAGTAATTGGTCGCTCAATCCACATTCCTAAAATATTTCAGGTGTTCACGGTTTTCTGAGACCAGGTTTACACTAGAGGAGATTTTTCCGGCTTCTTGACGAATGCAGAACATTTTGGTAAGGGATTCGTTTTGTCGTTTACACGAAGGTGCATGAATCCGAAAAAATCGTCCTGGTTTGGTCACGAACCCTGGAGATTTTGAATCTGAAAGCTTAAGTGAATAGTTTTTCAATCAACTTAAAAACAGCAATGTTTAATCTGGCTTAATGTATAACATGGTGAAGTAGGCAGACCTTGAAAGAAGTAAGCCACCTCTGAATAATTCTAAATACACACTGCATCGTATTCAGTCTTTTCCAACAATAGATTCGTAGTACTGAACCTGTGCAACCCAACTAAGCATCCACTATCACAATTTTGATTCACAATCCAAACTCTCCTTTTCTCTGTCATCTGTTCCTCCGTTGTCTGTTTAAAAAGAAGAATTGAGAACAAGTTAGACAACCAGAAATAAGTTCTTGCAACTTTGTCTCTGCTGTTCAATCTAAAGGTAAAGTGTTGCCAACCAGGCGCAAGCACCAATTACACTGGCAGTCATAAAACCACAGCCCTACAGATCCGCAGAGCAAAACATGATTTAGATTGGTTCTGGTGTCTAGGATAATTATAAGATGAGGCTGCTGCGCACTAGTCAGTGTAAAAGTTTGGACCTTTTCTTGAGAAAGAAGGAAGAAGCATATTTTCTAGTCAACCATCCAACCAATCAATAAACAATAATGCTACCGAAGCTCTTTGCTTTGTCATATTCAGAAAAGGTTCCTCAGGTTTTTGTTTTATGATGAACTATGATCATTTCTTCAAGAAGAGTGAAATATATACCCCATACAACAATGTGCTGACTGATCGAAACCTTGGACAATGGTGACACTGGTACAATATTGGGATCATTATACGTTTCTAGGAAAACTGCCCACCTACCCCTCCCCTAAGCCAACATTAACATTTACTTCTCACTTAGGGCAAAATGTTGGCTTAGAGGAGGGGTAGATGGTCAGTGTCTCACAAATGTATAATGATCCCAGTATTGTTATAGTGAAACCCGGTAACGCGTTCCTAAAAGAATAAAATTTGAACTTGATTATTTCAATACTGATTATTTCAATAATTATTCATTATACAGTAAAAACTAGCGACTAAGAACCCACCTTTTCCCACGTTAGCTATAACAGGTTCGTACATAAGGGGTAATTAGCACAAATTAAGGCTATTTAGGTTCTTATTTTCCAAAGAAAAAATTACATTGTAGCTAAGAGCATTTGGTGGTATTCAGCTTATTCTTCATATAAAATCTGCACACCATTACATTGCAGTAAGAGTGATAAGGCACCTATGTCTCCAAAGAGGATCCTAAATGTTAACTTCCCTTATTTGCCCAATTGTACAGAGAATTTTTAGGGCATCCCCTTTCTATTTCCAGGAGGCGTACGTATTTCCTATAGGACCGCATTAATTGGATTAAAGAAGAGCTGTCCAATGATGGTAATGATTTTATAATCCCTTGGGATTTGCTGAAACCAGTTTCGATAAAACTAAAAGAACGTTATGGGAAACTATAAAAACAGGTTTACGTGACTAAACCAGCGAGACTGGTTTTTCCAGTTAAGATTGTTTGCCGATTTTGCCGTGACGCATCTGAAGTGACCTATATGACTGAAGGTCTAAAAGTTTGGACGCTGCGAAAAATCGTCCTCACCTCAGGTTCATGCATGTGCATGGTCAGATGAGTAGAGATTTGGCGACTTTTTTCCTCTGCTGTCGTTGTCTTTGTGCTGTTCAATAAGTCAGATGACTAAAATGTGTTTTTCGTTTTTTTTTAGGATAACAATCATACGCGTTAGTTTTTCTCTTGTTCAAACTGTTGAACTATTAAAATTTGACTGATAATATTCTTGGCTACTGGCAAGTCAGGTGAATTATTTCGAGGTACGTATTTCTTTAAAGTGAAAAGTTTATTTATTTTCAGCTACTGCTGCCGTTTGTTTTTGATCGATTCGATTACTGAGTAAAACAAACGTATTTTCCTTTCTTAATGAAGGTGGACCACCGCCATGTTTTTGAATTCATCATTCAAGTCATGTTATCAATCGCTGTTGACAGTGCTTCGATTATTTGGAATGTGACTCCTCTTGCCAGCGCCATGACAATCAAGGCTGAATTTTTGGAGGCCCAACGGTGCTGAGATGTTTCATAATCATATCAGCGTTTAAATATTTACTCGCGAACTTCGCAGTCTTACTTGAAATGATAGACTCAAAGTAGCCAACAGTCCGCTTCAACAATCCTTTATTAAGGGCGTTTAGCACAGGAAGATCCAAGAGCTCAGCTGCTTTCGAACGGTCGGAGAAAAATAAGGTAATTTCGTTTCTTGACTAAAATTGTAATGTTACGCTATTGACGAGATGCAACACCTAAATAAAACCTTTCTTATGATAAATCAAACATTATTGAGTTTAATTGATCAAGTATGCAGATACTAAGAAGTAGGTTTTGGAAAAAGCAAGGGTTCACTGAGTTTTTACAGACTGACTGACTTACGGGTTTTCGGATATTGGATGCTTTGAGCATTGATATAAATACCTTCTCAAATATTAAATTGGTATTTATCATCAACAATAGTTAATTTTTCCAACCTTTTGTGGTACTGTCATTCATCTGCTGCTCAGGGGATATAAGGTTTGAAGGCTCTCTACAATCTTTCTGCGTCTCTTGATGGATTGCAGAAGATTCCAGAGGAAGTTGATCCCCTGTTGGGTTGCAATAAACTGTACCCTCTGCGCCAGGAACCACTTCACTATGTTTTAAGTTAGAGCCACGTCTTTTGTACACTGTTGCAGCAAGATTGTACAGCACAGAGAGATGGACTGGCAGAAAGCAAAGGCCATGGAGAAGACCAAGGAGTACCATGCTAAAGAACATCTTGAAGAAAATCTGAAAAATATTTGACTTTGAGAAGGCTGTCATGAAGATTCCAATGAGGGTACTGGCACCTAAATAAAAAAAATCAACATTTAACATTGTCCTCCTTAATGAAAAAAATTACAAGGTAGATTCACTTTGCATTTGCTTATCTGTAAAATTTTCCAAAGATTAAAGAAACAATTCTGTACTGGCAAAGTTCCTCTTGTTGGACCACATTCGTTTACATGACAGGTAAATAAAATGTCATCTCAGTATCAGTCATGCTACAGTCTCAGTCAACTGTCTTCGTACCCTCCCAGTGTTGGTATGCAAGATTTGGTGAGTTAACTGCGACAAACGACATTGGGTGGATGTAGTGGTGGGCCAGAAGTAAAAAAAAAGAAACAGCGTCCGATGGAAGAGTTCCAACTATTTTTGTCTCAGACTGTAGTAGACGTTCATTCCAGTAGCAGAGCTAGGAGAATAGGACATTCTATCCACCAAAAAGAACTTGTTCGTGAACATGGAAGACTGGAATTAGAAACAAGTCAAAATTAAGGGTACTAGCAGCCACACGCGGAGAGTCACGCTTGATTTCTCATTAAATTTTGTCTTGCTTCCGTCAGTCTAATTTACATGTATGCCAGAACATTTCACATTCAGTTCTAGCCTACATTTTTTTAGCTTTAACCTCACTATAATAGTAATGTCTTGCTGAAAATGTTTGCATAAGGACAAAAACGGGTCTTAGTAGTGATGTGTGAACAAAGCCTTCTAGTTAGACATGCGCCTTTAAGCAATACCCTCTGCAGAGAAAGGTTTTAACCCAGGAGCCGTTTAATATAAGCAGGTGGAGCATGATGTCTGGATGAGTGTAGTCCTGAATAGAACTGTTGACTGAATAGAACTGTTTAACTCTTGGACAACCTGTGCTGTCATCTTCAGAGTCTAAGTGAGTTGTATCACATCAGTTGACAGTATTAAACTCTGGTTATTGACCTGATTGGTCAGTTAAGTCGGTGTTTGTGGTGGTCTGTCAGTTAAGCCGTGATGTTATTGGCTATGAAGACTCTTAATGTGTTTGGTGCGTTTCAGTCTGTCTTTTGTCACAGTGTAACTGTCGTTTGTTGTTGGTTTTAAATTGTCGGTTATCCGTTTGTGCGGTGCCGGTAATTGTTGACTACAATTCAGTAGTGTTCGTTATAAAACATTTAGATTTCACATCTAGAGTCTTCATAGCCAATAACATCACGGCGTAGCTGACAGAACACTAATAACATCGACTTAATTGACCAATCTGGTCAATAACTAGAGTTCAAAGCCATCAACAGACGTGATAAAAGTCACTTTGACTCTAAAGATGACTATCGCACAGGTTGTCGAAACTTCAGTCACTGTCAACAGTGCTATTAAGGCCTTCACTTACTTGGACGATCATTTTCCAGCTACTTACTCTCTGATGTGTTCTTACCTCCTAACATGACACTTGCTCCAACATAGGTAACTGCTGCGACCACCCTTTTATCAGCTGAAGTATCAGTTGCCTTAACAAAGGCATGAGCTACATGGGCACTGTAGTCCACAGAAAAACCAATAGCCATAACCAGGTTTATCATGGAGATGGAGTTAAGAGAGACATTCAGCAGCCACATCATTCCAAACAACTCAAAGATCAGAGACACAAAACCAACAAACACCAAAAAAGACACACTTAAATTGATCAAGAAGGGGAATGTCACAATGAGCACTGCCAGCGCTGCAATTGTTAGGTTACGAATTGTCTCGGAGAGAATAGCTGCATACTGCTCAAGGTAAACAAAGGGAGCTGCAGCCACATAAACAGGCAGCTTTGACTTTGCATTTAAATCCTTTCGCATAGACAGCATGGCATCCTTTTTGAATACTGAGCTATAGGAGCGTCTCATGAAAGCAGTTATACGTGAGGCTTCAATCACTGTCTCATTTTGGCCAAATTTGATGTCTCCATTATAATAAGAGAATTCAGAGGTGCTAAGGAAACTCTTTAAACTGGCCATGAAGTCATCACCATCGCAAGGTTTATTATGATTCTCACAGTACTTCAAGAAAGCCCCCATCCATGTAACAGTATCTTTTTCAAAGTATTTATTCAATGCAACAATCTCAGAAAGCTTGGTAATCTTATTTTGCACAGAGACTGTTCCATACTCCACATTTCCACTTAATACAATACTGGTTTCCATGGGTAGTTCGAAATATTTTCGCTCCATTTTCACGAACTCATCAAAATAAGTCCCTTCTTTGGCCAACAAACTTCTGTCAAATTCTTGATCTACGTGAATGGTGGCATATATACCTCCTCCTAGTAAGCAAAGAGAGAGAAGCACAACTGCAGTCTTGACTGTTGGGTACATGAGGAACTCTGCCCATCTTTTCATCAATTTGTTTGATACCTGAGGCTGAGGTTCATCCCAAGGAGGCTGCCCTTCTTTTGGCTCTGGGGCATAGCACATTGGAAGACAGTTTCGTCTATTTGCTTTTATTCGCCGCACATCAAATGACATCAGAGCCACAAAGACAGTCACAATCATGAGAAATGCAAAGGTTATCGTTAAAGCAGCGTAAGTACAAAAGTACTTAATTGAAGGGAATTGAGAATTTGTGCTCACAGCAAAGGCCACCAGGTCTGTTAGGGTTGTCATGGTAATTGTTACCCCTGTACCAGACATAACTCGCCGGACTACAGTAGGAACTTTCAAGTGACGTTCGTGGCGATCTAAGTGATCCACAATAATAAACATATCATCAAGGCCAATACCAACAACAAGAAATGGCAGAACACCAACAATGCTAACAAAAGGTGTTTGTGCTAGCATAGACAAAGAAAACCCAGCTAAGATTCCAAGAGCCACAGCAAAGGTGCCACCTAATGCAAGTAAGGAGTGTCCCGTCAGCGGATTCGTGAAAATCTTTCCTGCCATCATGCTAGCAAACTGTAACATGAGAGTAAATGTGAGGGAAAACCAACGGATATCAGACGAGCTACTTGCAGCAACTGCATCATCCAAGCTTTTTTCGGCAGAAAAGTAGATTTCAATATTTGACAACTCATCTTGCAAAGAGGATAGTTTCTGGATAAATGCTTCTTCCCAGGCTTCTATTTCATTTGTGCTTTTATCACTGCTAGGCTCATCAACATAGTATGTTATCTGCAATGCTTGGGCACTTAAAATTTCGTTTGAAGATTCATTTTTTGCTATGCCACTAAACATTTTTGGAAAGTTAAGGCATGAAGGGCGGCCATTTCTCATTAAAACACCTGGACAGTTTAAAGCACTACTCAGTTTTGCTTTTATGTTAATCAAGTTCTCTGCATTGTAATTAAACAGTTCCAAAGGATTGACAGCCATGCAAAATTCTCTTGACCTTTCTTTTACTCCAGGCCTTACTGAACATACATCAGCATACCCTGTCAAATTTTCAACCGCAAGATGAACTTGCAAGACTTCTTTGAGGTACTTGGGATCAATTATATTTTCACCTTGCTTAGGAGCAATGATTACCTTCTCTTGTCTCAGCTTCAACTTGAAAAATTTGCTTGCTTTATCAAGATCTTGCAGAGATTTGCTATTCTGGGGAACAAAAATCTTGGCAGATCTGTTTTCAGGATTTAACCACAAAAATCCAATCGAAAAAAGCCCAACGAGGAAAATGGCCATAGCTATGGTGGCAAAAGGATGGTTGCTTATATTCTCTCCCATAGCCCCAAACAGTTTCTCCAAACTGTGGTGAAACCAGTTGCAAAAGGACACCCAAGTTGAATAAAGGAAGCGGAAACCGAACAAGCATGACCTAAACACAAAAGCAAAGTTGTTTGTTTCACAAAATATCAACAAAATACGTTATCAACAAATTAAATTTTTACTTTTATAGATCAATAACAAAAAAAATCATTCCCGGAAATTCTCAGGAATAATATTATTAGAAGTAAATCATTAAGAGTGATTAAGTTTGTGCAATTACAGTGTGAAGACTTCAACCGGAGCCACCTAAGCACTTTCAGCCAATCAGAAACCGGTCCTTTAACAAGGAATTGGGCGTGCAGACCTCATCACGAACTGTCCTATTTTTCGATTGGTTTGTTCCGATCCTAAATTTTTCGTCGTTTAGAATGGTTTAATTCTAGTATGAGCCAATCAGACCAAAGAATTTTGTTCTCTTTTTTCTCGTGATCAAATTCAAATTTTTACTCGTTAATGTGTGTTCTCTTCTAGAAAGTGAAAGAAAGATGTTTGGTTCGAAAGTCAGGACTCATTTTAAAATACATGTTCTTATTTCAAAATACTTACATCAAAATATTATTAGATGGGGTATATAAAAAAATAAAATAAAATAAAAAAGTACTTTTTGCTAGTTTCTCCCGCATGGACTTAGCAAAGAATATTAATACCACACCTCTGAGTTTAACTTTGGCTTCACAGAGTTTCTGTAAAACCATCCATTGGAAACTCTATCAGGGAGACATTCCTAAATGAAGTCATCAAATGGAAATTCTATGGAACTTAAAAAGTGAATGTTATTGGTATGGATTATCTATGGCACATTGAAAAGTTGGTGTCCCATATCATTTCCATCCAAGTTATGGCGCAGTTATGCCAGTGTTATGGAATATCTATGGACATAGCTCTCCCATACAATGAATAGCATCGGCTTTTCTTCCCTCCCATATATTTTCCCTGGGTTACATTTTGCCAAAATAAGGTCCCATCCTATAAATTAGTTCCATACTAGGAGTAATCGGAGCTTAGGAGAGTGCGTTCGATATGTTTGTTAGGCGTACAGGTAACAGTTGAGGGGGAAAGATTGGATGGTTCTTGGGATAGATAAATATGATTATGGAATATTTTAAACGTAAGGGTTGCGTACACCGAAACTCCTATTTAAACTGTGTATCATTATACGAAGATTTTCAAAAGATATCGTATGGTTCGGTGTCAAGTGCTTGTAATTGGAGGAGACACTGGCCAGAGTGTGTCAGGCGTGTAAATAGTCTACCATTCAAACTTTTGTTTTACTGGCGCGATTACAGGGCACAGTTGTTCAAAGGCCGATTAGCGCTTAACCCGGGATTCTTTTTCTTTCTTCAAAAACATTTCTTCGGATAATTTTCTCTGTTATTTTTAAGAGCATCCAATCATCAACCTGTTGACAAAACGAATTAAACTGAATTTACTTTTTAAAAGCTTTCACATCTGAATTCAAATTTCGCACTAACCCTGTCAAAGCCTTCGGTGGAATGTGCGTGCGGCTCACGTCAATAACTTCTTCAGTAATTTGGTCAAGCGTGTTGATTTCAGTGACTCAAGAGTGGTGCTATTGTGGGCTGGTTTATAAGTTTTTCCTAATAAATATAACATAGAGTTAAAGTGTTCGTTTGTTCGGTGCTAAAAATATCACAAGTCATGATCAAATGGCGCCACCGAGCTTCACATCTCGGTAGATTTACTTTGTGGCACAACGGCTGCCGAGCTACACAACTAAGTAGGTTTACTTTGTGACACAACGGCCGCCGAGTTACACAACTCAGTAAATTTACTTTGTGGCCTGACAACGGCCGCCGAGCTACAAACTCAGTAGATTTACTTGTGACACAAAGGCAGCCAAACTAAACCCGGTTTGATGCATGCACCAGGAGTCGCACACATTTTCCAAAGACAGTGACGAACCATGCTGAAAAATATGAAGGCTTAATCCAAAGTAAAATTTAACAGCAAACTTCTGAAAGATGAACGCTTTGGAAGATTCAGCAAGCACAGATCGATGTACGCTTTACCAAGATTCAGCAAACTTTTTTAAAAAACGAACGCTTTACAAAGACAGAATATCAGACCTCAGCAAACCTTTGAAAGATGAACGCCGAGGACACACGAAACACCACGTGAGTTAGCGCGTCAAAGTGAGACAAAATGTAAGCAAGCACTTCAAAGTGAGGCAAATGTGTGTCGACGCAAATGTAATCTCAAAATAACCTCCCTCATTAATTGCGCAGGACACCCAATAACGCACAGAACACTCAACACATATTAGGGGTTGCGTTCTTGTACCTCGATCGCAATTATCACTTAGCCTTCCTTCATAACATTCCCACGGCTTTGCCATATCATTCCCAAAGTTTTCTTTTTGGTACGGGGTATTTGCCTGTCAACTGAAATAGTAATCAACTTTTGGTTCACATTTATTGCTCAAAGGAACAAGACATGGTAAATTTTCTATTCAAATTGTTATTTGAGTTAACACACACACTTCATTCCTGGTTATACTTATTGATGCTGTTTACTGTGATTTAAAACAGAATTCTTTATTTCAGATCATTTTTATGCCACATTTGCATGCTACAGTTGGGTGGCATTATTTTTCATGCTGTAGAAATCCCTGATACCGTACCACCCTCTACTCTAGTATAAACCTTGCATAGTTCATGTGCAACTCAGAATTTTGTCAGAGTAAGCTGGGAAATAATAGCAAGGCTGCAAATAACAGTCGGTCATCGGACAATTGTCCGGTAAATTTGACGTTTTGACTGGCGAAATATTAGTCTGGTCTGTCACTCTGACCGGGCACTTTTGATCCAAATTAAACTTTTAATTATCATACTTTAAAGACACTTGTGGCAAAACATTGTTCCGTTATTTAGCTAACACACACATTGACAATCAAAAAATAATAATCTGCTATCGAAAAGTAAATCAGAATTAAATTTTTGTATAATTTTTGTTTTCAAGTGCGAAGTCAGAGAAGACTGATCAAGTGAACTGATACAACTGTTACTCCTGTCTGTGATTAATATTGTGCAATTAAAGCAGTGAAATAGGTTGTTTTGTTATATTCTTAATTTTGATCTTTCACTTGGAATTTTTTGTCCGACCAGACTGTTTCCTTGTCAGGTCAGGTCTGGTCTCTGACCTGACAAATGACCTGCTTATTAAAAAAATTATTTGCAGCCTTGAATAGTCATCAGTCTTTCAAAATACATTAAAACTATAATTGGAGGGAAATCAAGGTCTGCTTTTCAGTAATTAATAATTCTTTATTTTTTTAACATTGAGTTTAGGTGACACAAAATTTCAATCAAGCCTTATACATGTACATCTTGCATACAAGTCTCAAATTCATAGTAATAATTCGCCAAAAGGTTTTTTCGTTCAAAATTTTAATAGTGGTAATAATAATAATAATAATAATAATAATAATAATTATAATAATAATAATAAAGGCTGTGCTCTAAGGAAAATTGAAGGGAGCCCAGTGCTCTGAAACTGTAAAATAATCTAGGGTGTCCAGCATATGATTTGTACGAAAGACATAAGAATGACTAGTCGCCCAAGAGCAAAACTTGGTCACCAAGGGCCACCAGGCTCTGCTGGAGCACAGCCCTGATAATAATATTGTTAATGTGATTGTTATTATGTGAGAGCAACCCAGGGACCAGGGGATAAAGAAATTGTTGAGTAGCTGGCAGCAGAGGGGAATGTTTTGGGTGTATGAGCACAGAATCTGCTAGACCTGGGGCAAGATCGAGGTATTAGAACAAGATAGCATAATATTATTGCACCGGAACAAGTTGAAACAGCAAGTTCAACCTCAGTTGTGCTGTGGCATTATAATTATTCACTCTGCTAATCACCAAGGAAACCTCTGTGCAGCATCTTTTTTAAATACTATAATAAAATATTATATGATGCACATTTCTCACAAATTTGATCAACGTAAACCAAAGTTAATTGCCATAAGGAAGCCAGAGTGCATGCAAATTTGGCAATTGTTTTTGTTTCATGCAAACAATGAGCTAACTCTTTGCAGAACTTCACTCAAATAATCAAAAGTCCACTGCATGTGTCAGAATGCTTTGAGAGCTGCACACAATTAGTCATGTATACCTCCATTTATGCAGCTGATGTGTTTCAATAGACGCCCTTCCATAATGAGAAAAATTGGTGGAATTTAAGTAGTTGACTGTACAAACTATAGGGTTTACATGTACCATTCACCCAATCAGAACCAAGTGCATATATCTTTCAACCAATCACACACCACTTGGTATCAAATTGAACTGTGGCCAGGAATAGGGGCTTGTAAGTTGTTATACAGGTGTACAGCATAAAACAGCATGATGTGCGACCTGCAGTGTTGAAGCCATTAATATGTTTAATAAAATGGGGTAACTGCATGCTTTCACCAGGGTGTGTCATATATGACAGGAAGCAACATGTAACCAGTATATAGTGAGTACTGATAAGTAGTTGCCACAAATACAGCTTGCAGACCTATTTTTAAATAGATTTACATTTTAACAAAATCTAAGTAAGTTATTAAGATTAAGTAAAGAAAATTAAGTAAGTTATTGAAGCCGGGAAAGCACAGCCTTGGAGTGGACATTTAAAATTAATAATTTTAAGATACATACCTTTTAGAAGAAGTTTTGGTAGTTGCTAACGGCAAGTCAGATCCATCCATTTTTTGACTTTCTATTTTGAGATCCATTTGATTAACAGCTGACCCCATGGTATGCAGCTGTAATGTCCAACACCTCTTGAAAGACAGAAAGAGAAAGTTCCTGTTTGACCTTAATAATATTATTATTAATACAATTTAAGTTGTACCGGTTTTAGGGGTGCCACATGGTCATTGTTAGAGAATGGTCAATTTTATTAGCTGTTTAATACAGGTTTGACCTGAATCAAGAAGAGAATTTAATGACAGCTGGTATGTAGCTTCCAGTAAGAGGGAAGCAAAAGGGGCGGGGGGGATGGTCCCGTTTCACAAACAAATT